CTGTTTTTAGTAACAGAGGCGGTTCTGCGGCTGCAGTGTGTCGAGATGATGCAGGGAACTATCTTGGAAGCTCATCGCTGGTGATTGAAGGCCAAACCGATCCGGCGACGCTCGAAGCAATCGCGTGCAGGGAGGCGCTGGCCTTGGCGGAAGATCTGCTGCTCCATGACTTCATCATATCATCGGATTGCAAGCAGGTGGTAGAGGATATTAACAGAGGAAATCAGGGGCGATATGGCTCAGTCATCACAGAAATTAGACTTAGACTCTTGAATTTTGATTGTAATTTTATTTTTGAAGGCCGAGCCACTAATGGCGAAGCACATAGTTTAGCTAAGCACTTTCTTTCTCTCGGTCTGGGACGCCATACTTGGTTGTTAAGTCCCCATGATCCGAATTGTATCCCACTACATGTGGATTATCATCAATAAAACTTAGTTTTATCCTTAAAAAAAAGAAGCAGTGATCCGAACTCCCCCTACAAAAAACAAAAGCACTGATCTGTACTAAGTAGACAGCAGCACGGTCTAGCAAGTTGCCTAATCGAATAACCTCACTATTTTCTGCATGCATCTTCACAGTGCCCGCCGAATCGTCCTCGATGAGAATCACTTGGTCTTGGATCTATCCGCGCCTCTTCGTGACTACTGCGTATCTGTTTCCCCGACGTGCACAATCCCCATTGCTGGCCCCAACAGCTCAGCTCAGGTCACGCAGCCGATCGCCGCGCCCCTCACGCGCTCGGCACCGACCCGGTTGCGTTGCGTCCGTCCAAGCCTGGGGACGCCGTGCTGATCTGGATCTCGACACGGGAAAAACCGCATCAGATGCCGCGCGGGGCACTGACACGCACCCACAGGCCACAGGTGACGGACCCAACAACCCCCCGGATCTCGCCAGGTTCCCCGCTCCTCCCTCCACTTGCGGGCCGCGGGGCGGGATCGAGCCGGGACGGCGCACGCCATGCACCCGTACACGAGCTGTGGCGTCGCGTCGAGCCCCCAACATCAACGAGTGTACAAGTGAGCCATCGCCGACGCACCAGCGAACCAGCGGCTGCCGCGTAGCCATCGCTCGCCGCTGCCGGCTCCCGCTGAGCTTCTTAACTCGCTAGCTGACAACCCCTCGCGCGCACACTCCACTGTCCACTCGCTCGCTCACGCTCAGTGCTCTCACTTCACTGCCCACTGCTCGCCATTACTGGGCTCACCCACCCCAGATCTCATGGCTCCCCAGCGCCGCCACCACGCGGCGTGCCTCCTCGTCCTCCTCGCGCTGTGCGCCCCGCCGGCCCACGGCGGCCGCGCGCTGCCGGCCAGGGTCAGCAAGGCGCAGGCGGCGGCGGCGGCGGCCAACGCGACGGCGACGGCGGACGAGTTCCTGGCGCCGCACAACAAGGCGCGCGCGGCGGTCGGCGTGGCCGCGCTGCGGTGGAGCGCGGACCTGACGGCGGCGGCGGCGTGGACCGCGTCCCAGCAGCAGAAGCAGAAGAACTGCGCGTTCGCGGACATGGGCGCCAGCCCCTACGGCGCGAACCAGGGGTGGGCGAGCTACCGCGCGCGCCCGGCCGAGGTGGTGGCCTCCTGGGTGGCGCAGGGCAAGTACTACACCCACGCCAACAACTCCTGCGCCGCCGGCCAGCAGTGCGGCACCTACACGCAGGTGGTCTGGCGCCGCACCGCCGAGGTCGGCTGCGCGCAGGCCAGCTGCGCCTCCGGCGCCACGCTCACGCTCTGCCTCTACAACCCGCACGGCAACGTCAAGGGCGAGAGCCCCTACTAGCGGGCGGCCGGCGTGTCGGGCTGGTGGCGGCGCCTCTTGCGTTGGGGACGTCGCCGCCGGCGCCGGAGCATGATCGTCGTTAGAGTTACAAGTACGATCTACCAGCTTCGTGTCTCTGGTTCAGTTAAGGATGATTTGTGTTGCGAACTTGTGGTGCCTAGAATAACTACTGCTTAGATATAAGAAACTCATGCGGTGGCGTGCCTAGCATATTGTGTGGAAAATGAACTTGTCATGTTCTCGGCGAGTCCCGACTTCCGAGGGTGAACTTGTTATCGGACAAGAAAATTGTTCTCGGTGGGTTGGATTCATGGCATCTACGCATGGCAGTCACCAGACTCACCACATTTGTTTGCACTTGGAGACGTGCATTTTTAATGAATATGCAGACATGAACTAAGTTGAAAATGGTACTCCCTTCACAAATATAAGATGTTCTAACTTTTTTTTCTAGACCAGATGTATATAAATGTATTTTAGTGTTTTTTATGAGGACACATTTTAGTGTATTTGTTCACTCATTTCAATCCGTATGTAGTTTAAATTAAAATATCCAAAACATTTTAGGGAGTACTATTCTCATGTAAAGTCTCCTTCCCTTTCTCGTCTATCTTAGGTAATTTTTTGGACGAGGACAGGCCAAAATTTTGGGATTAGTAACAGCACTAGTTGGGGAGTTGGCATCTAATCTGGTCTTGTTCTGAAAGATTTGTGATATCAAACACCAAATTGTTTGGTCACGTCAGTCCTCACATAGATAATATCCCATTGGGATGGATTGACATCGGTCTTAGAGCATCTCCAACATATGCTCAATAATTAATTTCTAATGGCAAATGATTAGCATCAGCCGGCCGATCTCCTGTAGCGTTCCGCCGCTCGTGCAGCCGCCAGATCCAAGTTTCATCGGACGGGTGCACAATGTACATCTTAGTGCAAAACGCCTTATTCGTGACATCATATGACTCAGTCCACGCGCGACGCGTGCCTCTACCACCTTAACAAATTTTCTGCAACACTATCTGTGTTGCAAAAGTCCTTTCGCAACAACACCAATGTTTCAAAAAATTTAAGATGAAAAAATATTCCGCAACATCATTTGTGTTACAGAAGTCATTCCACAACAACACGCATGTTGCAAAAAGTTAAGACGAAAACAAAAAGGCTTCCTTCATTTCTTTTCCAGTGTTGTTATGTTTCTATTTTTATTTTTTTTTCTTTCCCATTTCTTCTTTTTTGAATAACTTTTTAAATACATGAATAATTTTAAAAGTATCTATTTCTTATAAATTATTTTTTCTTCTAAGATTACATGTTTTATAAGAATAGAAAACTTTTAATATTACACGGATATTTATGTAATTTCTCTTGCACATAACTATAGTAGCACATTCGTTGGCTATGCGCAGTTGGGTGTTCATCATCGTTGTGAAACTCTTTTTTCAAAATTATTCAATATAATTGGTTTCTCATTTTGTAGGTTATACTTTTATTTGTATTTCTAGTTTCCATCCTTTTCACGCATTTGTTTTTTTTCGTTTTTGTAATGCACACATGTACCATCTGCATGCAATTCACATGAGCTTTTTGTGCCTAAGACATTTTTTTAATTTTACACGTCGGGTTGCAAGTGTGGGCAGTTGCATGTCTGTCACTAGAGACGCAATTGCAAGTGTTGCCA